TTTTCATCAGCTGATTCAATTTCCACTTAAAAATGTATAAAAATTGAATAAAAGTAAAGTAAAATCAAGGTTTCAATACAGGAGTTAATTTTATGCTTTTGTTTCTGGTTTATGACTATTATTTTAGTCAAAATGCAGGCATGATTCAAGGTAGAAAATTCTAGCATATGGGCTGAAATACATTTTCAAGGACTTTCATTATTGCTCTCGCAATGCATTTGGAGGGTCAAGGCCCGTTTACACATGCAATTTTTAAAGCGCGATTGTCGCACGACAATCGCCTGAGTTTCGAACATGCTTGAAATTTAGCTGCAACTCGCAGCAATTTCCGATTGCTGCAACAATTGCAGGGCTGTTTACACGTGCGATTTGAGGTGTACGAGAACAAAGTGGCGATTGCCGCGCGACAATCGCACTGCAAAAATCGCAAGTGTAAACGGGTCTTTACAATGAAGCAAAATATTGCAATGTGCATCATACATGTAACTGCAAGTCTAAGGACAATTGCAGAAAAAGACAAAACTTTGCCTATTTTTGTTGCTGACAGTTTTTATCCAGAAGGTATAGTTTCAAGGAACCATACTGGAAAAAAATTTAAATTAGAATTAGAGGTTGTAAGTTGTGTACCACAATAATGTGACAGCCTAATGGGATATGCTAGATCTGACATCCAACTTTGCCCAATAGATTATTAAGGCTGATTTACATGGCACGATTGTCGCGTGCGATTTGTAGTATGCGACTTGAATCACGCAGTGTAAATGCCCCTAAGACTTGTCTACAGCAGTCGTACGCAACCTACGACTTGTAGTAGGATTTTGAACCACTGCTTAAAATCCTACGACTTGTAGTAGGAAAATCGCATACTACAAGTCGCGCGCGACAAATCGTACCGTGTAAATTGTACAGCCTTTATGGGGTCCGACATTGAATCGATTTCTCCACCACAGGGTGACCAACGTGAACTTCCCTTTTTGTAAAAATACAGTTATAAGAGCGTGTGACATCTTGCTCATGATGTAAAACACAAATATCATGCCGATAAAAATATCTTCAAAGTATCAAAAGTATATAAAGCATTATATTCACGAAAAATTMAATAATTTGCGTTTGTCGTTCTGGTATGTTTTCGAGCCGATGTTTTCCTGAGGACGTGTGAAAAGTCATMCATTTGTATTCGTCGGCATCTGTTTGTTCTTTATATTCTTGAAGAACGCCTTTTCACTTTAATAACAAAGGGTAAATTTCGTTGTGTAGATAACGCTTCATTCATAGAGATCAACAGGATTTTAAAAGGATGTTTTTTCGCAAACCAAATATTGGACTTGTTGACAGGCGTATTATCCAGCATCATTCCCAATTTGTGGAATCTCTTCTTAGGCGAAGGACTTGAATTAGCTAACTCATCTTTACTTTTCGTGGTCACTTTTGTGATGTTCTGAACGATGAGAATTCAAGCAAAGTCTTTTCTCTTTGATTTCATGACTTTCAAAGTCTTTTGTTTTCGCGCCAGAAATCACGAAGTCAGAAAATGTCGCAAAGCTATCGTGTGGTCGRTTTTTTCCATGTTTGGATGGATAATTAAAGCCGTATGAGGTGTCCAAAGCGTTTAGAATAAGCAGTTCTTTTCTGTGGGAGGCAATTATTTCCTTTTCGATCAATAATGCAAACTCGCTTTCTTGAACAGCTTCGGCCATGTTTTAATTTGAAATATCACTTCCGGTTTTTATAGCCGCTGACCTGCTATATCTTCCAGAGCGTTATAAATAGTTTTCTTTCGTACAATTAATCATTGTTTTTCTGAAAATTGGCGTGTCTTCTGCATTTGTTATTGTTTTTCTAACAAAAGAGGAAAAATTGGTTGAATATCGGTTGACGTTTATATTTCTATTTCCGGCAATCACTCCCAGTTAAAAATTCAGACTGTGAGGGAGGGGTAGGTAGYGCTGATTATTACTTTATCTTCAATTTCAGATAATGCAGAATTGTCAAGATGAATAGCTACAAAAAAATTCAAAATAAGYTTTATCATGATATGAGAAAATATCTCTGCATTTAAATTTCTCAGAAATTTCTTTATTTGCTATAAGAATTTTRGTTTTTACCCCTCCCTCCTCAAATATRTTGCSAGGTCGTCTGGTTGAAATGTTGGGCATAGATTTTGCGTCGGTGGAWGTTCTGGTCGTCATTTACCGTGTGCACTGAATGAAATACAGGCAAAATAGACTTGACTCTTGTACCCTAACATATTTCACTTCTATTTAAAACATAACCACTTAGAAAACGAACAGAATATGTCGAGAAGGGCGTCAGAAAGCGAAATTCTGGACTTTGTTCATGGCGTGTTCTCCATTACCAAGAACACATGTCAGTCTTCGTCTTCGCCTATATTTGAACTTAACTAAGGTAAGACAGACTTTGAACTGTAAGTAATTTGATAATTAAATGATGTTGAGGGAAATATATGTGATTTTTTGGTAAGTTGACTTGAATGTTGTCAATTTGCCGTCTGATCGATCAAAGCGCATCTCAAAAATCTCGTTGGAGCTGTTTTCGAGTTGAACTTTTGACAGAAATCTCTCCTTCAAGATTTTTGTTTGAAATCGTTTAGCGTAATAACTGRAGAAGAAGTGGTTATTGTTTGAAGTCACTCGATTTCGACTGGCATTAGTTTTTGGTAAACTTAAGCTTACATATGAGACCGAGAATTTCATGTCTTTACAATCCTTCACATAACTTATGTTTACCTCACGTCAGTAATTTGCATCTTTTTGCTAATGATGAGATTTCCAACGTGTTTTGTGTAAAATAATTTCAAGAATTCAAGCCAAGATTGTGATCCTTACATTTTGTTATCAAAATATAATTGTTAAATGTAAGGAACGTAAGGATGTGAAATATCGAGTTTTGAAATTCACAATTTCATTTCATCACATTTTGACAATTTGAAGTAAAGCCAAATTGAAAATCATTTGTAACGAGTTTGAAAGATTGTTTTATCAGACARCGATCAGAAACAATTCATTTTGTACTTGAAAATGACCTTATTTTGAATTTGAAAACTAAAATATTTCAAGTACATTTTGAAATGAGAAAAAATAGGAATAATGTGATCACTGCTTATTCACAATTCTTTAAAAAAACAAAACCCAAAATCTATCTCAAGCTTGGTATGGTATGATTTCAGTAAGGTTTTTGAATATTTAATGTAGTGAGGTAACTGAAAAAACGTGGGGTTTTTCAAGTAAGTGTAACATCTGTTCCCAAAATATTCAAGTACATGTAGTAAAGTGATCTGTAAATTTAGGGCGAAAAAGGAATTAAATTCACATGCTACTTCACACCTGCACATGTGCTTTATTTTGTTGATCATGATAACATCCATGTGATCTGAATTCAGTCTTGTGATTATAATCCTCATCCATTTGTATCAATTTGACCATGTGACAATKTTTAAGTTATTGTGCTAATGTTATTAAGTTCATTGACCAGTAGTTCTCCTGTTTTACACATTGAATTTTCATCAAGGTTTTCATTGGATAGATTTCCATGGTATTCAGTGGTTCCCAACTTGTATGGTTTGCTGAACGTGGTAAAACTCAAATTGGATTAATACCAGGGTAAAAATTGATGAAGTAAAATCTTTATAGAGGTTTTTTTCAATACAAACATACAAGCTAATGGATGTATATTATTTTTTTGCACTGATCTTATAATATCAATGGCAATTCATCAGGTTAAATGTTAGAATGTGTTTTACATGTATATTCAYAGAAAGAGTGCATTTTTTTCGAAGTCTAAATGCTTGAATCATGTAGTKTTCTTTAACAGTTAGCTAATAGCCTTGAAGTAATTGAACCTCTTCTGAGGATTCATGGTAAACACCAGTGAATAATTATGTTAGATAGGTTTAAAGCAAAAATTATCTTAGTTGTTATCTTCACCAGATAGCCTTGAACACTTGGTACAATAGTAAGACACCTTTCAAAATTATGCTACAAACRAGTTGCCAWGTGTTATAACTTTTTTAATGKATCTGCTTAAAATGTTGTTATCTGMAAGTCTTCCTTGGGTAGCCAGGGATCTGTCTTTGGTAATATAACAACATTAGCTTTAATCTACAACTAAAATGATCTTAATAAAGTTTTCATTTAGGGATGTTTCCTGTAGTTAATTGGAAAAGATAAAAAAGAAACAGTAATTCAAGACAAGTGTTCTATTATACAGGAAAAAAGAAATTATTATTTGAAATGAAAAACAGAAAAAAAATGAAAGGGAAGGAAGGAAAAGTGAGAATAGTGAGAAGTCAAAAATTAAGCTTTAAAACCAAAATGATAAAAAGAGAATAGGAGGATGAGAGGAAGAAAATGMGAATAAAGAAAGAAATGTGAAAAAATTAGAATAATGTTAAAATAGAAATTTTCATTGTAGTGAAGAATGGAAATATTTTTTTATGTATGGCAAAGAAAAAGTATTTGTAAATAACAAAATACTATGGGTATTGCATTTTCAAATTTCTTTCTAAATTAATCAATATAACATTTTGTCAGGKTCAACGAATGTGAATTTCATATCTATATTTAATTTGTTACTTTACCCCCAAGCCAGTTGCATAAATTGAGAAGAATATTTATTGTCAAATTTCTACATCTACATGTTTATATTAATTCTGTTCTAGCTTARATCATGGCTGTTCCAGTATTTTCATACCAAGGAGAGTTATTGCACCAGGCAGCCATATTTGATCAGAGAGACTTTCTGAAGTCTCTATTGCAGTCAGGAGTTCAGGGGGATGCAAACTGTCCAGACCCCAGAGGMCTGACGCCAGTACATACAGCTGCTCTGCATGACAGTACACAGTGCCTAGAAGAGCTTCTTTGTAAATGGAAAGGTATTTCATGTAGATAAATACTAATCTTTCACAAGTTAAATGCCATTTGGTTTTGTGAAAAAAAAAAAAAAAACAAGCAAAAACATGGAGAATTCTTTTAGGTCAGGCACAAGATATTTTAATTTATTCTTGTAGAAACAGAAGTAGTTTTAGACATATTTTTTTGTTATGCTTTGACAGGGAATCCAAACTCAGTGACTGGTGATCAAGACAACCATTCGGTAAGTGCAATAAGTGCAAATGCATTAAGAACAAGAGTTAAAGAGGGTCTTAAATCAGTAGATAAAGTTTTGAGCTGCAGTAGGACCAATACGACAAGATATCTTAACACTTATATTTTATATATTTTAGTCAAGCTTAAATAATAAGTTAGTTGTCTCATATCTTGTTTGGTAGGCATGTTTTCTTTGACCAAAGTCCAATTTAAATTGATGCAAGTTACAAAGTTTATGTGCTGATCAGGACCAATCACCATATATGTCATGTAGTAGTTGTACATTTAATAGTCATTTCCTTGTGAATTATTAATYAGTTTGATAAGACAAGTTAGTAGTGGTTAAAAAATAAATAAATTGACTTAAAAAACACTTTTAACATTGTACATGATTGCAGAACAATTATTTTTCTTYGGCATGTTTAACAGTTTTCATGATGTTTTCYTTTTAGACACCTATTCATCTTGCTGCTAAAAATGGCCARATWAAGTGRTTAAAGCTTCTTGTCGAAAATGGAGGAGATGTCAGCTTGAAAAATAAATATGGGAAAGCTGCAAGAGAGGTTTCCCTCATGGAYGGACACTATGATTGCGCTGAATACCTGAAAAACGTGGAAGGTATGTTTAAAATCCAATYACCTTTAATTGAAGAGAAAATGGAGGTCTAAACTGTGACTAAACATTATATTTCCTTGCTTGTAGCAATGCAAAGAGCAGCCAGGGAAGAAGAACTCAGTCAAGGTTAGTGATGATTATCAATTACTAGTGACTGTACATGTACATGATCAAACATCTTTAATTTGTAAAATGTCTAAAAAAATTTCATTTTATAAACAGAACTTTTCTCTGCATGTGCTACTGGTGAATTTGAGAAAGTGCAAGTTTTGATTGATGAAGTCAGRCATACAAATATTAACAGGCTATTCCAAGGAGGTTACTCTCTGCTTTACAAGTATGTCAACTACAAACTTAAATAGCTTAGTATACATTATTTTTCTCTTGATTTCTTTACTGAAATTTTCATAAATACTGTAAGGAAACTCCAATCAACTGATAACTGGCGTTTGTGTTTTTGATCCTGTTGCTCAYAACTTTATAATAGACTTCTGAACKTTTTWCGTCACTACTTGATTTTCAATGCATTGTGGGAATTCAGTTTCAAGAGAAAACAAAAGAAATCCGCCATGTTTTGTCCCAAACATGRCCTACAATGCATTGCGTATACGGTACATGACGTAAAAGCTGCAGAGGTCTATTCTTTTAATCTACATCACAATCTTCTTTGTTGTTGACAGAGCGGCTTCTGGAGGACATATAGAGATAGTCAAACTTCTTCTTTTGAGAGGAGCAGATGGGGCCCCACAGCCATTCAATGGCATGTCCCCCCTGTATGTTGCATGCTCTCAACAGCATGTTGATGTTGCTAGGTTACTTGCACAGTCCATGCCGCACCAGGTTAATATTGCAACAACTATGGAAAAACAAATACCTCTACATGTGGCGGCTTCCATGGGGAATGTAGACATTGTTAAGATTCTCTTGCAGTGTTTTGAGTAAGTTGATGTGTTTTGATGCATAATGTATAATATCAAATGTGGTTTCGAGATCTTATTTGTGCAGCCTTAACCTTGAAAGCATGTAACATATTCTTTTATTCAGCCGAGATCCTATTGTAATGCAAACTGTCTGCAAACTTATTAAATTTATGCTTGATTGAAGCTAAGCTTGCACAAAAGAGAATTCGAAACTGGAGTATTGTGTGTAGCAATCCAGTCACCAAATCATGTACTTATTTAGTCATTCATTTTATACTGATTCCATTTATTTGGGAATGAACCAACTTCTGTTTTCCATTCGTTCGTCGTTCGTTCGTTCATTCGTTCGTCGTTCGTTCTTTCGTTTGCTCGTTCGTTCGTTCGTTTGTTCATTCGTTCGTCGTTCGTTCGTTCATTCGTTCGTTCAGTTCCATCTCTATTTAATTCGAAAATCACTCAGCTAATTGCATTCATCCATTCACTGTTTCATTACAATTTTCTTTTAATATTTTCCTACTGATAACCATTTGTTTGCTTCACACTTTCTAGGGAAGGAGGTATCCCTCAGAAATGTAATGGTGTTGACGTTAATGCCAGGACATCCAGTGGTATGACACCCCTTCACCATGCTGTACCTGGCGGGTGTATCGATGTAGTCAAAGTTTTGATTAATGGTGGTCATCGATGGTGAGTTGCTTGGGATCCCTTTGTCAGTGTGAACAAACTAGCCTGGGTCAGACCAATATTTGATTTTTTGTATCTTTAGCATGCCACCYTGTCGAGCCAAGGCGGTTCTTGATGTTAATGCGCAGAGCATCATGGGACGTACGCCGTTACATGACGCTATCACTGTAGGACACAAGGAGGTTGTTAAGCTGTTAATAAAAGGAGGCGCTGATGTTAACCTGGCATATAATCCTGACCAAGTGAGTTTTCAGCTTTATTTTCCTTTGATTATTGTTTAATCATGCACTTTTATAATGAAAAATGGGACACAATGATAATATAAAGGTCTATCCCGTTTCGTCCATTTATGAATCCATCCATTCATTCATTTTATCATTCATTTACTAACGAACCAGTTGTCTTGAAATTGTCTCCATTTGTTTAATCCTTCCATCCATCCATTTCCATTAATCCCATTTGTTCATCTTTCCATTCATTCGTTCACTTTCATCCATTCTCTCTATATGGCAACCATAGGTATTATACAGAGACGACCCAAACGATGAGATCTCAAGAGTTGCTCGTCGTCTGGCAGAAGACGTGCGAGATAACAACAAGACTCCCTTGGGTATCGCTTGRGACCATGGCAACCTAGAGATTGTTGAGATACTACTTAAGGCAGGGGCAATCGATGTCGATAGTGCTTGTGTTGAGAAAGCAGCCAAGGCTCATCATCACGCTTTGGTTCATTTACTCTTAAGCAAAGGTATTTTATATTACTTTTTTACATTTTAAAAGTGTTGTTTTGCAAAAAGGCAGTTTTATCTTTTGGGCTTAGGGCAAAGGAAAGAATCGAATTAGGCTAATTCAGTCAACTTTCCTCTTGCAAACGCCCCGATATTATGGACACTCCGATATTACGGATACTTATAGTAAACGAATCCCTGCCTCAAAGATGAAATGAACTCACTTACTGTTGCGTACTCTCTCTTGATGTGCTGTCTGGTTTCTTAGTGTTTCTATTACTACGCACGGTCAACCTAGGCGTTGCAGTTATTGTAGCATTCCTACCTGAAAGTAACCGTAGCACGCATTATCTCTCAACAGGTGTCAATGTAGATAACGAATACAAACTTCCCCACTCSTCCCGTAGTGGGGGTCACGCTGAAGAAGCATGGCGCACGGAATCCAACCCAGTTTGCATCATATGGAATGGCATGAAACTAAGCAGCGTACACCCGCAATGGATTGTGGACGGCGCCAAGAGAATAAATCCACAGGTAGCCCAAGGAAACGTTGGTCTTCATCCAGTGTTGAAGACGATAACGCGGCTTGATTTGTCTGGGAACACACTTTCTAAGCTGCCACTAATAATATTCCAACTGCCATCACTGAAAGTGTTGAACATCTCCGAGAACTCCCTTAGTGCTTTACCTAGTTTACACAATGGTKGAGTTAAGTCTGCTGGCACGAATGGCACTAACTCCATTAARGCGAAGAAATARCATTCMTGTGACAATATRACSGATAGAATAATTGAGGAAGAAGAAGAACACGATTTCACATACGCTGAATCGAGCTGGAACTGTCCTCACTTGGAAGAGATTGAAGTCCACCACAATTCGCTAACGACTCTTCCGACCTGCATCTTTCAGTTACCGATGTTGAAGTTTTTAAACGCGTCTTTCAATGATATAGATTCATTGCCTTTTGCTATGTGGTTTGCWCCMGTACTTAAGACGCTGGATTTGAAAGGGAATTATTTAAAGATGTTGCCTTTGTCTAAAGAGGTGAAAAAGAAGCCACCTAAAGCGATTCCTAAGACAAATAATAAACCAAGACATATGTCGAAAAGCAGAGATGATATAAGTAAAGAGTAAGTAATATATATTTTTATAGCAATAGTTCTATTAGTTCATTCATATATCTGTGAACATGTTTTATTCACTTATTTATATTCCACTATTTACCCTGKYAGCAGAGTGTATTTCCTTACCTCAATAAAAAWTCGCGAATTTTTATTGAGGTAAGGAAATACACTCTGCTCGCAGGGTATCCACTATTACGACAGCTTCATTTAACATTTGATATTTATAATCAGTCGTCTGTCTGGCAAGCAATTATGCAGTTCTGAAGTCAATCTGTCACTCAGTTTTATTAACCTGTCATTCATCCTTTGAATCAGTCAATCACCATTGTTAATCCGTCATTCAGCTAGCGAATCAGCCATTCCTCCTCCCTTCCTTCCTTCCTTCCTTCCTTCCTTCCTTCCTTCCTTCCCTCCTATCTCCCTCCCTCCTTCCCTTCAGTCAGTATGCCAGTCAGTCATTTACAAAGTCAGTTCAAATCATTCCATTAACAATAACATAGACAGTTGGTTGTCCCGAACGATAAAATAATTTTGACATCTTGTTAAATTACCAGATTAATTCCCGAGCAAGAGAGTGATACACCAGATGGAAAAATTCCCAACACATCAAAAGACAAGGAAGAAAAAACTTCAAAGTCAAAGCAAGAGAACTCAACACACCCGGCAAAACCTCAACACATGAAAATATTCTGCCACAGCAAATTATGGGGCAAAAACGGCTTAGAAGACTTAGAAGACTCYAGTGATGAAGAAGAAGAGGTTGATCTTCACAAAGGACATGCGTTGCTCAAACTTGATTTGTCAAACAATCAATTCCGTATGGTCCCAAAAGGAATTGCCTGCTTGGCTACAAACCTACAGACTCTAAATATATCAAATAATTATATATCAAAAATTGACACTTTAGCTTATTTTCCTTCTTCTTTATCATCTTTAGATGTTTCTAGTAATAGACTAGACTCTTTAGATCCACAGGCAATAGATTTACCTGTTAACACATGTTATGCGTTAGTTGATGGTCAGCGGGCTGGCTTTGGATCGTCACGTGGTCGGGGATCAATGAGAGGACGGGTGTGTCGTCATTTACGTCACCGAACATTAGTAAATCTTAAACGATTGGACGTGAATCAAAATAACATTAGAGAAATTACTTTTACGACTTCGCAAGCTCAGTCATCGCCTGTTAGGAACCCKTCGACGACAAAYTCTACAGCTTGGTTTGCGGGAATTGACAATAAATCTAGCACTGTTCTCTACCCGAGTATACAGTCCTTAAATGTCAGCGGTAATCCACTGAKTGARCTTCCAAAGGAAATTGGACTGRTAAACAAGTTGGGATCCCTGCATATTTCATGTACCGAGATAACGAAGCTACCTGCGGAGATTGGGRTACTGTCGGATCTATGGGACTTACAGTATCAAGGATTAACGTTACAGGATATRGAGCCTAGTGTACTTGAACGAAAAAAGACAAAAGATCTTGTGAGTTATTTGAGATCGATCTTGGAGAGGTATGTATGATATTGATGATCATGATGATGATGTAMCGAGAAAGGTTTTCAGTCTAGTTCAGTTAAACTGTACAAAAAATGAATCTATGGGTGGATTCAGATTATAACGTTTGAGACGACATTTTGAACAAATTGTCGAGTCGAARGTTTCAATTCAATTCCAGATACTGATTTATTTTTCCATGATGATGATATTGATGATGATCGTTGTGATGATGATGATGATAATGATCATTATATAATCTTTGAAACTTTACTAAGGGAAGTGTCTCGCTTGCTGCGTTTGCGCTAATGGCAATGATAGAGACACCTGAAGACAACGTTTTGTTATAATTATCGTATACGCAGGTCAAAGCCTTATCCTTGCATGAAGCTAATGTTTGTCGGTGTGTCCAACATCGGCAAGACGACATTACTAGGRCAACTCCGACAAGAAGGTACAGGAAGCTATCAGTCATCACCGTCGACTTCTTGGACAGAGAGGCAAAAGAGAAGAAGGAGAGACTCGTCATTAGGTTAGTTTATCAKCTTGCTCCCTTTCCTTCACTCTTTTTTGCATTCTTCTTTTCGATTCCCTTCCTCCATTCTCTCCTTACATCCCTCTGTCCCTTCCTTCCATCGTGTTTTTCCTTCCTCTTCCTCCTTTCCTTCGTCATTTTGTCCCTCCATTTCTCCCTTCCTTCCTCTCTCATTTTCCTTTTTTATTTCTCCCTACTTTCCTCTTTTCTTAATTCTATCTTCCATTCATGATGTTGGTAAACAATTTCACAGGTCGTACCAAGAAACCAGAGAAGAACATCTCAACAGTTGGAGTRGARGTCTCTGACTGGACTTACCCCAAGAAAAGTGAGTTCTTTAGAGGAGACACTCGTCAACCAATCAAATTCAGCACGTGGGACTTTGGTGGTCAGGTAAACGATTCCATCATGGAACAGATATTTCAAATAGAAACGATAGAGAATAGCATCCTCCGCAAGCGTCTCTTTCCTTTCTAAAATAACAGACTTCATTAGTTAGATCAGTAAGAAAGCGGGACTAGTAACGAGGCGAGAAAGATGCATGCGGAGGAGGCTCGATAGAGCAAAAAGCTACTTTGCTTTTCTGTACTTTCTTGCCGTGACCATGCTTTTTGTTGTCTTGTTTAGCGTGAGTACTATGCAACCCATCAATGTTTCTTGTCTCATCGTTCTCTTTACATCGTTATGTGGAAAGTCACTGATGGAGAAAAAGGAGTCAACGAGATTGAACCCTGGCTGCTCAACATCCAGGTATTTGAACTCATTACATTGTTGATCTGTACATTTGGTCACCGCACAATAAACTAAACATCCAATAAGATTACGCTTTTAATATTGGGTACATTCCAGCTGTTTTGCTCAGTCTAATCTATTTTGCTCAAACGTCGTTTTCTTACGCCATTTTCAAAAAATGTTAGTGTTTCATCTATCTGTCATCAGTTCCCCCATTCGTTTGCTCGTACGTTRGTTCCTTTCATCCTTTCCTTTGTTTGTTCAATAGTTCGTTTACTCGGTCAGTTGGTCGTTCATCCACTCGGCATCTTGTCCCTTCTTTCATTCATCATTCCATTTCTTATCCATTTATTTCCCATTTACCAGGCCCGAGCGCCAGATTCTCCGTGCATCATCGTTGGCACACATTACGATATGATGACWCAAGAAGAGAAYCGAACCGTTTTACCCGACTTACAGCAAATGATCAAAGATCGTTACATCGCCAGGGAATTCGGTGGAGATATCCAAAACCCACGTGATCGAGGCCTACCGCGTGTTATGAGTAGAATAGAGATCAGCTCTAAGACTGGGTATCACGTGAGAGATTTACGTCACATGATATACAGCAAAGCTATCGAGATTAAAGAGAGAGGTAGGACGAAAAAGACTCACAAGGGTGGTGAGGGGAATCGACTTTGTGCCTTATGGAAATAGATATACTGCTTCTTTCTAAGGGTTGGCGTCTCCTTAAATAGTTTTCTTCACGGCTACCTTTCAAGATGGCGCACGTAACCGTGAAGGAGACTATTATATGACAATCCTTAAGGTGAAACGACTGAAAAAGACGTCATTGAATGCCTTGATAACTTCATTTTGCTATCTCTATACTTTTATATTCCCTCTTCGTTATTTAGGTAGTCGTACGCCGCTCTTAGATACTCCGATACCTGAGAGTTACATCCAGGTCGAAGAGGTTGTCGGGAAGATAAGGAGAGACTGTTACCAAGACGACCAAACGCCTGTCATGAGGTCTGAACACTTCAGGTTGGTGCTGKCAGTTTTGTTCTTTGAAGTAAAAACTAGTTTAACTATAGTGTGTGTTACGGAGGTGTTTCTAGTGAAACATTTGTGTACCCTGTATAACGACAGAAAGCTTACCGAAGTTGCCCTTGTGGGAGAATATGAGGAAGGACCAAAAGAGCAACGACCAATATCGAAAATATCAGTAAATTCCTGTATAAATCGTTGTGTTTATGTTTTAGAAATGCCGTTCAAAAGGAACTGGATAAACAAGGAAGYCGGCTCCGTGATCTTGAAGAATTACAGCAAGCAACTAAGTTCTTGCATGACAATGGTAAGTGTCTGACAATCAACGCAAGATGCAACGCTAAAATTTCCTTTATTGTGCTATAGTGTAGCCTGAATGGCCGGCTRTCTTGGGATGTRARMGCCGYCTATGCTTGCTAGATATACTGGAGAATTTTATTAAAAATGATATTTCCGAATGATATTTCCCTGTGAACACATCCTCATGTTATCGCGGGAAAATCTWTATATACMTAATCCATATCCTTTGACAGGTGTTCTYCTACACTACGATGATCCGTTATTGCGTGACCTGTACTTTCTGGACCCTCAGTGGTTGTGTGACATGCTTGCACATGTCGTGACAGTTCGGCAAGTCAACCCTCATATTAACAATGGTGAGCAGCAATGAATGAAACGTGACTGACCAAATTGACAGTGAGAATGCAGCTTCATTGAGGGGACAAAACAACGTATTCTAAATGGAGACTGAAGAAATATTTGCTAAAATAAATAACTGTTTTTTGATGTAAGATGCAAGGATTTCTGGTCTTCATTATCGGTATTTTATTTCCCATAGGRGTAATGAAGCTCACCGATCTCTCGCTCATTTTCCGAAGCGAGAATTTCCCAGCAAARCTCATRAAYCAGTACATCAACTTGTTAAGCAAGTTTGAGGTGGCATTACAGTGGAGCTCAGAGTACCTYCTCGTCCCGTCCCTACTCCCTGACAGGCAGCCAGTTAGTAACCAGCCCATAGCCCCTGGMGTGAGTCCTGTAGTGACAKGAGCGATGAACATGGCGGCGTATACAAAGACCCGGGTACTACGAAGACAATACGTTATGTCGTATGTGCCAAGTGGGTTTTGGCCAAGACTCATTACAAGGTTAGTATAAATCTTGGGTTTTCTGTGTCAGTGGAAAATTACATTATTGCTCAATGGTGCTGATATACTACACCTACCATAGTTACCAGAATGCTCTGCGATTTTTTTCGACCAAAGACAATGTGCAAATCATTGTGGTACAGTATTTGAGTGACGCCGTCATTCATGCAATGAAAATTTGTTTGTATTTAGCCTCCTCSTCAGGCAACTCTTTATTCGTCCTTTGGGCTTCCTTTGTAACGGTCATCGTAACTGAATTCGTGATTTCTGCGGAGGAGGCTCGTTTAAATTATCACATAAACGCTACGAGGCTAACGTACTTTCATATCATATACCTAGGGTGATAGCAGACGAAGAGGTACGTGACGTTGTACGGTGTTGCTGCCAGCTCGTCATGGAAGGAGAAGCGGTGGACGGAGACAAGGAGAAGCTCGCTTCAGTTGCGCAACCTGACTGGTCTTGTTGGAAGACTGGCGTTGAGCTYTCTTGTTTTGGAGTGAAGATGTTACGGATCTGTGATCTTGAAGGATATCCATTCTACGGTGCACCTGGTAAGGCGACGTTGATCCTCTACGTACCAGGGTAGGGTAGGGAAGATTGGCGGCTTGTAGGAGGACATGTCCAGGGTTTTAACGTCCAATTTTTAGACTGGATACGTTGTTGTTGTTGTTGTTGATGATGTTGTTGTTGTTGCTGTTGTTGTTTCGATATTTTTTTCTTATTTAAGTCCGAGCAGTAGCATCTCTTATAAAACTCATTAATATTCATAAGGCAAAACACAATAGAAATCATAGCCCATGAAGAGAGTTGTATATTACATACAGATCGCCCGCTCATATTGTATATATTACATATTATGTGATTTGGTTTCTACAGAAGACATGTTCAACCCTCTACAGTATCGTAACGAGAAGCACGACCCAACATCGTACTCGACCATCGCTGTCATCGCTCCTTGTGTCAACATCCTCATGGAGAAGTTTGTCCAAAAGAAAAAAATTAACAGAGGACGGAGCTCTAGATACAGATCTAGAGAAGGTGACGACGGTAAGACTTATGACAATGATATGACAGTTTTAAAACCACTTATTATTCCCGTATACCATACGATCTTTGGCTTTTCTTTCAGACGATGACGTCGCTGAGTCCAAGCAAGTTATWGGTTTTCGAGTCAAGTCCGTAAGRGACGTCGGAATTCAGCTGGCCGCTCGACTTCTTGCCATCGTCGTCGAACACTTCGACACCCTYATCACTGACTGGTTCCCAGGGCTTGATGCTCTCACGGTCCATGGATATCGCCTGGTGTCCAGGATCGTTCCATGRCCGAAATGCATCASTGAGCTATCAGGAGTCGAAGAACTGGATCAGGATGGTGACAGCAGCACTGTTGGTATWCCCTACACCCCKCAGAATGACAGTGGAGCCCATTTGACTACGGACGGTAGTAGTGCAAATGCTTCCCCCTGGCCTAGCCCAGTACATGGTGCTTTAACACGTGAGTTACGGGGGAACTCTACTCCTTCGCCGGTGAACAGCAGAAGTAAGTATAGTACGCCTTTATTTAGCCTTTTTTACCTTCAATAAAAATAACAGCAAAAAGTATTTTCATACTGTTTTCGTTATATCCGTCCTCAAGGGACAGAAACACATCAGTTATAATTTGGCTCCATGATAATCATGTTTACAAATACTTCAATAAAAATGAGAACAAATAACTTTCTAAAAAAAGGGAAAAAAAAGGAAAAAAAGATGTTGTGGGTTAAACTTATAATTCATTGTGATCCATTTAGAATCAAACAGCCTAGGAAGTAATGCATCGGAAACAACACCGGATACTCCTACCGGGGACCTCCCGATGTCCCCGCCTTTTATCCAAGTACCGGACAACGCAAATAGATTCACCTTCAAGTCTGTGAGTAGTGGACTGGGYACAAACGAGAGTTCGAGCTACTTTGAAGACACTAGTGACCATTCCTCTGATAGCGCAGAGGAACCGGAAACAGATGGAAGTGAGGAGCCTAGTACCCCTCAAGGTATCGATTCATGTTCTCATTTCTTTCATTTTTCATTTCCCATTTCCCCATTCTTTTTCTCCTCACCTTAGTTAGAGTCATTTTCATCCGTCTGTGAAATAGGAATTGTACTATTAAATACTATAACCCCCTAATAGCTCCCAATAGTTTAACTTATGACATGCGACAAACTAATTAGGCAAACACAAGGTTTTGATTTTGCCTTTTGGTAGCCTACTACACCGACTAGTAGTAATTGTTTCACAGACGGATGAAAATGACTCTAATTACTACCTTCCCTTCTTTGTTTTCAGACCGCAAACGAAAACCTCTCAAAAAGGATCCATTTGGCAGTAGTGAGAGTGATAGGTCACGTGGTAGTGAAGATTTTAAACGTCGCGATAGCCGTGCAAGTAACAGCAGCAGTGAACGACCATTTGGGTCACAAACAGATTCCCAGAGGAGCAAAGGTATACTACAGAAACAAAATGGCTCCATACTAACAGTAACTGAAGTAAGATTTTCAGAAAGGAACTGGGTCCTAGAGTAAAATTAAGGACCCAGTCTTTTGCCGAAATCCCAACTAAAGTGGGGGTGACCTACGTAGCACTCAGTTGATGTAATATATTCATAAAGATATAATACAAAACACATAATACAATAGAACGAGGAACAATGGAATACAATACATTTTATGAATACATTACATCAACTGCGTGCTACGTAGGTCCTCCCAACTAAAGCGATTTTCTATACCACCTGAACAGGAAGTACAGAAAGRACCAGTAGTTTCAATCGTAGCGGTCGGTATGGCTCGTTTAGACGTCGACCCAACGAGAACGAGAAAGTGATATATGCGTTTGAGTTCGAGGAATGCGTCTTGAGTGCCTACAATGGGGAACCAATCAAATGTGAAGAACATGGACAATTYAATCTCAGGGAGCTTGCTCCAGATGTGGTATGTGATATCTATTTTTCGATGTTTCATTCTCTCAATGTGCTTACCCTGCGTAGAGGCCTTAGGGGACTGGGGAGGGCCGAGCTGAGAATMTGGCATCCCCAGTACTATTAGACCACTGTAAGAAATTGTCAATTATGAGGAGATGTATTATTTGACCTCGTTTGAGTTCTTACGATTAATCCTCGTTCTTAGATGTTTGAGGACATTGCTCCACATCTCTCCATTCATACCGGTAACCTCGTTCGCGGGAAGTTCCTTGGTAAAGGCACATTCGGCTCAGTCTTCCGCGGTGAACTTAAAGGCGCGGCTGGTGATTCTGAGGCTATTGCCATGAAAATGCCACTGAACAATGAAGTTGGAGAAGACGCCAAACCAGAAGAGAGACAGGCAGCGGAGGCGGCTAAGAGAGCTTTGAAGGATAATCCAACCATGGCACTAAATGAAGCTTACAGGTCTGTTATGGTCTTGATTAATTGATTGATTGATTGATAGCTCGATTGATTGATAGCTCGATTGATTGATTGATTGATTTATTAATTGATTGACTTATATTGACTGATTGATTGATTAATTGATAGCTGGATTAATTGATTGATTGGTTGGTTGATTGATCGATTGATTGATTGACTTATTGATAGATCGATTGCAAGATTGATTGACTGATTTATTGACCCATTGATTGACAATCGATTGATTCTATTTTCTATTAAACCTACAGAACCGTTCGCCAAGAAATTTCCATTCTTCTACCCCTTCAACATGCCAATATAGTCTCACTCAAAGGATTCTGCCTCAGTCCTCTTTGTATGGTTCTCGAGTTTGCTCCTCTRGGGGCCCTGGATCGACTYCTTCACAACTACAAAAGGGGCGGAGCAAGACTAAACCCTTACGTCGTTCAAAAATGCATCGTCCAGGTAGTCAATAAATTAATACTATACTAATATTATCACTGAAAAAAAAAATCGTACTTAAAAGGTTGTAAATTTGATGTAAATATGATGTAAGTGTCCAAAATGATGTAAATTTGATGTAAATCATTTACATCAATTTTAAACCATATTTACATGATTTTGGTAACTTACATCATATTAACATCAAATTTACAGCCTTTAAAAGTGCGCGTTTTTTTTCAGTGGATATCACTATTTATTGATACCAGAACCCTGCAAGCTTAACGTTTCTTTTCTTGTTCTTAGTGCGCGTCTGCRTTGAAATACCTCCACAAACACCACATCATCTATCGAGACTTGAAGTCCGAGAACATCCTTGCYTGGAGCTTCCCTCAGCCTCACTCTGATGACCAATCGACGCACGATGTCCTMATTAAATTAGCCGACTACGGTATTAGTAGGACAGCGGCTTTAGCTGGTATTAAAGGGCTTGGGGGCACCCCTGGATTCATGGCCCCGGAAATTGAGAAGTACGTTGGTAAAGAGTGCTATACGGATAAGGTTTGTTTCCTTGTTTGTCTCCTTTTTCAAAGCTTTCTGTTTTCTTCATACTTTTTATTATGTTTTAGGTGGATACGTTTTCTTTTGGGATGT